CCCTTCACATCCCCTCAACAGCTCCCCTAAGAAACTCGTAATCGTTCACCTTTCCTATCATGTCATACTGCTAGATTAGAATACAATGCTGGCGACCATGGCGTACAGCGTGTGCCTGGCGAGGAAGAAGCGCTGCTAGATAAGCGCGCTGCAAAGTAACCTATGGTGTCACTTGGGTTTTAATGTAACCATGATAGGATAAATCCGAGAGGTTTTGATGTTTATATTCTAGAGTACCTGCCGTTTGCGATAGTTGACAGTGACATGTTGGTTGGTACCAGTGTCAGGACCCTGAGCTGAATGGCCTCGATACCCCGCTAGAACCCACACGTGCTTTGCCAAATTCACCACTAAGCCCAACACTCTAACTTGCAGCTCGATCTCGCATTGCAAAGTCACAACCAAACAGCCTGACAACATGGTATACTACTTCTCGTCAAACACGGTGTCTCCGTCGGCCTTTATTTATGTTGGCAAAGACAAAGTCGAAAGTAAGAAGCTAGACTGACTACCTCAGCTTTTGACATGGCCACACTACCTTGCTTGTCACCTGGGCGTTGGAATAGAGATCGCATGCTAACCCTGGGATAGATGAAGAGCTGATCAAGTACGGCTGGGACGAAGATGTGTGGTTCCACGTTGACAATCTTTCCTCGGCTCACATCTACGTCCGCCTACCAGAGGGCGAGGACTGGGAAAAGATGAACAAGGAGTTATTAGTCGACTGCGCGCAGTTGACAAAGGCGAATAGTATTGAAGGCAACAAGAAAGACAACATTACTATTGTGTATACGCCGTGGAGTAACTTGAAAAAGGACGGTAGCATGGCTGTGGGACAGGTCGGGTTCAAGGATCAGCGCAAGGTGAGTATTATGTGCTTATAGAGTTTGCATACTAATTTGCTGGAATAGGTCAAGCGTATACATGTTGAGCAGAGGGAAAACGCCATTGTCAATCGCCTGAACAAGACAAAGGTTGAAAAGTTCCCTGATCTGCGCGAAGAGCGAGAGGCGAGGCGTGCCGAGTTGAGGAAGCGGGAGCAGGGTGCAATGCAGGCAAAGGTACTTGAATTTTTTTTTGGATTACCTCGGTCCATGCTATCACTATCTTTACTTTGACTTGACTTCGTTTTCATAACACCATCATCTCTTCTGCAGCAAAACTAACCTTATGCAGAGGAAAGAGGAAGCGCGCGTTGCCAAAGAGCGCAAGGAGCTCGCTTGGCGGAGAGACCACGCCTATGACGACGTCATGACTGAGGACCATCTCGAGGAAAGCAGCAATCAGAACCGCGACGAGAACTTTCTTGACGACTTCATGTGAGGCTCCCTTAATGCTCACGCGATCACGGTCTAGTGCAGGTGCGTGGCAGAAGGGCGCTTTGCGAGGGCTTCGAGGCAGCGGTACCATTTGTCGCCTCATCTAGGATCGCGAAGGGTCATTGCTGGCAGGCAAAGCCCCATGCTTTCGTTCAACATACAGATGTTGTGATTGAAGACATCGTATGCAGTTGTCTTGATCTCGAGTTCATCGCGGGTTCTGACATGTCAGCCTCACTGTGTTGGGCTCAGAGCGAGGCACGGGTACATACAGAATCTTCGCTTTGTGCCTTCCGTAGCCTCCTTGACTCTGCACCCACCATACAAACAACAAGTTCTTCACTATCTTGTGCTCTAGGCCGTTTTCTCTCGTGGCATACTGAAGAAATTCCAGCGTGTTTTGCACTTTCTGGGGCTCAAAGTCAGAGGCACTGCCGCGACGGAACGCCAGACGGAGGCGGTCACGCAGCGTGTATCGGGCTGGCTTGGAGAATTGAATAGCCCGGAGACTATGCCGATACAGGTGCCTATACGCGTGTAAGACTTGCTGTTGTGACATGGTGGCCGGGGCACTAACGACGTCACGCCTCACTTCTGCAAAGCGCCATGGTTGGGCGTCGGAGAAAGGTGACACCGGCGCCCCGTAGCCGCCTGCGTGGCGTGGCACAAACCTGGTTCGATCCTCTCTTCTCTCCTCACACTACACCACCCAACGCCCCGCCTGTGCCTTTGCATCCACTGGGCTTGTAGATTCAAAATCCGCGTCTTGGACCTTTGCGCGCCGTTGTGACTGCCTCGTTTCTCGTATTCATCGCTAATCCCGCAGCATCACGCTCCGTAGCTGGAAAAATCCCAGGCCACAGGAGCACTTTACTCTTCCACGGACCGCTGCGTCTCTATGATTTGCCTTGCACACCAGCGTCATGACCAGAGTATATCATCCACGGCCGCAATATGCGCCACAGCGCAGCAGCACCCTTGAGCAGCCGCGAGCCGTCGCCAAAAAGAAGAAGCCCTACAAGATTGTGCTCGAAGCGGTAACGCAGGAAAAGAAGAAACTGCACTCGATCGTCCGTCTGCGATGCGCCATCGATGCACCGACATTTTACTAACGCGAGTGTAGTTGACGTATGCATCCAACGCGCCCACTGGCTTCGGCTTCATTCCCGCTGGACATCCAGAGTTCACGGAATGGTGCAAGGAGCAGTGTCGCCAGCGCAACCTCGACGTACATATTGTTTCGGTAGGCGTCGCAACAAACTCCGGCGGGCCGCGAGTAGCTGACAACCCCCCAAGGCCAAACCCAAGAACAAGATGCATTCCGATCCCGAGAAATTATCTCATCATGTCCACCGAGTCGGACATCATTTTCCTTTGCAGATTATCGACCTTGCATGCAGCAAGTTCGGCTATACGTACGATGAAAGCCAGGGCCTCCAGAAAGCCAAGGATGGCGACAGGACCAACTGGATTGCCCGGCGCTTCGAGGACTACTCTTCACGGCAAGTTAAACAAGGACGTCCCACGACAGAAAAGGAGACCAAAGGCTACATCCATGGTGCCGTTCGCGAAATGTTTCCCAAGATCCCTGACGATGATTTGCAAGCCATTGTTACCCCATGCCTTTGAGGAGGGAACAAACCGGGTAGGTAATGCCAAGGAACTTTCATTGGCTCGTAGAGTGCAGCTTGCTGTTGTCGCCCATATTCGTCATACGTATACAGATTACGACAAGCTGCTCAAAAGTGGCGGTTGGATGGAGGCTCGGTCCAAGGTTGAGAGTGTCTCCCTTGCCAAACTCAAAGAGTGGCGCGACGAAGCCGATGAGCAAAGCAATGAGCTTGAAGAAACCTTCCGTGAGGTCATTGTTCTTGATGATGACGATGAACCAAGCAGCGATCGCCATTCCACGTCTACGCCTGATGAACGTGAGCAAAGCATGGAAATTGTTTCCAGTCGTGCTACTGCGCGCGATTTGCAACCCGAGCTTCATGCCAACTACCCTCGTAATGATATGAGAGGTGTAGCAAGAAGAACAATTGTTCTTTCGCGATACCCTCCACCTCCACGATCAGGTCCATTGCCTGGCTCTTCACACCCCCAGCCATTCTCTCAGCTACCACCTCCACCTCCACCTCCACCTCCACCTATGCACGCAACACTAAACTCTGAACCACGCCTAGGGCACCACGGCGAAGCATATCGCTATGGCACACACGATCTGAATGACAAGTAAGGAGTAGTGACATGTTGACTTCCTAGCCCCACTAACCACCACAGACGAGCAAGGCCAGCTGACTCTGGTACAAGCCAACGGGCCGAGCCTATTTTGCACGAAATCGACGGGCAATTGTATAAAGTGAGTCTTGAACAGGTCACATCTCGTGAACACTACGCGATCGTATTTCGTTCGTTGTTCTGGAAATTTGAGCTGACACCCGTAGCTTCAACCCATCAAGGAGCCACGAGATGATTCAATGATGCGGTATGACCACCCTCCATCGCGACGCATACAAGGCATGTATTCGCGTCCTGCATCCCCTCGATTTAGTATGCAGGAAAGACCACCCACGAACACAAAACGCATGGCAGATCACGATCTTGTACTCCCTTCTGTTGAGCGTGAAACAGTTGATCTGACTTCGCCACCACGCCGTAATACAAATGCACATCACCCAGTGCAGGATCACAACATGCTAGACAGGCACTACATTCAGGTACAGTCGCCAAAACGTAAAGCGCTGAATACTTTCACGGACGAAAGAGACGCCCAAGCAGACCAACAGCCGAAACGTTCAAGGCCTATGTATCGTGAAGAAGTCCATCCCAGAACCTACCAAGGTGGGCCACTTGAGTTCCATTCAAGTCAACCAATGGGTCCTCTTCACAGTGCTCCACGACCACCGCCTCCAGAGCATGTCATTGATCTAACAAACAGTCTATATGGTCCGCCTACCAACAATGTCAGAGGTCAATATGCACCTCTACGACCTACTGCAGATGTTGATCCTCGTGGATACGTATACGCTCCTCCTGTAACGCATCGACAGCCTGCGCGCGATGTGAGAGAACCTCATCATCAGGTACCGGCTGGCGCACCTTGTCGTACTTACGTGCCCAATGCCAGGGCGTACGACAACCGGAATCCAGCCCGTGACTATATCTCGTTGCGAGACGGACGTCAGATACCTCGGTTCGAGGAAGAGAGTCTGCAATACATGAGAACCGGAGTTCGATATGGTGCTTAGGATGCTTTGATTTGCAATCAGCATAGTGGGCGGAGTTTTCGGTGTTTCCTATGGACGATACCCCCTGGATTCTTTTTTCTTTGTTATGCATCTCAGAGAGCATTTGTTTCTCATATTTCGCTTGCCGCATGCTAGTCTGCATTTTTGGCGTCTTGTTACTAGTGCATAGCATGGTGGGAGTCTGTTGCATCGAACAGCATCGTCAAATGATGTGTTCGTGGCGATGCCGCTGGACGGAGAGGAGACATCCAGTACAGACCATGACCGACAAGGCTGAGGTTCTCCTGGATGGAGGAGTATGAATACATAGGTAGAAATGAGAAGTACCAAGAGGTACCTTAAATACGATAACTTTCTATGTCACATTGATCCTCTACTCGCTATGTCTGATACCTGATCCTGTATCATATACGCACTTTATCCCGTCTCAGGCTTACTTGTGCATCTGCGCATACTTTTCTATAACGCCGTCCACCACCTTCTTGACCTCGGCCGCATCCAACTTTTCCTTCCTGTCCGGTGTGTACACCCCATTGACCTCCTGCTCAATATCCGTAAGTTGTGTATACACGAACCCACAGCAATGACCTCCATCCACTATCCCCACCATCATCTTCTCAATCCGCTTCAGCAAGTCCTTGGGATCCGACGCAGTCGTATACCCCCAATCCCTCTTCCTATCCTCCTCTCCATCCCCACCCGCACCAGCAGCCTCGCGCGCAATATTCACGCCCCCAAACTCCGTACAGATGACCGGTGCGCCAGGCGTATGCGTCGACCCTGGATCCCGCAGTTGTTGGATCGGCGCCAGAAACGTGGGGCGGTTAGATTTCGTCTTCATGATAGCATCGAGCGACGCACACGTCGCTGTCAGCTCCTCTGCATCAGCATAGTCATGGAACGTAGTTAGATCCGTAACCACGTGCTCCCAGCCACAATTGTCGTTGATAGGTCTGGTGGGATCGAGGACTTTAGTCGCGTAGTACAAGCTTCGGATGTGGTCTCGTTGCTGCTTGCTCGTGTGCAAATCCGTGTAGGCCCAGGATTCGTTGACGGGCGTCCACGCGACGACGCAGGGGTGGTTGCGGTCGCGGAGGACGGCTTCGCGCCACTCTTGATCCATGCGGTCGACGTAGGTTTCGGAGAAGGCGTAGGCGTTTGCCATTTCGCCCCACACGAGGAAGCCGAGGCGGTCGGCGTAGTAGTGGAATAAGGGGTCTTCGACTTTTTGGTGCTTGCGGCAGCCGTTGAAGCCCATTTTCTTGCTGAGCTCGATGTCTTGTTTCAGGGCTGAGGGGGTGGGGGGTGTCATGAAGGTTTCGGGCCAGTAGCCTTGGTCGAGGAAGAGGGCTTGAAAGTAAGGGTGGTTGTTAAGGCGGAAGGTCGAGTTATCCCAGTGGAGGGAGCGCATGCCGGTTGTTGTGTGGATGGTATCGATGGGGATGTTTTCTGAAGAGCGATAGAGACGGATGGTTAGGTCGTAGAGGGTTGGGTGGTCGGGAGACCATAAGGCGAGGTTGTTGAGCCAGGCCTTGGGTTCGGAGAGTGGAGCAGCAGATGTGAGGTTCTGTGGCAACTGCGAGACCTGGGTGTCGGTCAAACGCATGTTCGTCTTCAAAGGGACTGTGTCTGAGTCGTGGGGTAAGGCAGTCTTTTCAGTCTTGCTGATTAGAACACCGCCGAGGCTGGCCTCGAGCTCCACGCTGTAGTCATGACCTGCTAGTCTTCCAAGAACCTTGATGTTAGCTTCCAAATTTCCTCCTTCGATATCGTTGCTCTTAAGTAGTGTGCCTGTACTCGCATCTCCTAGTCTGACAGCGGGAACCGATTCCAGCCACACGTTTTGCCAGATGCCTCCGCTAGGCGTGTAGAAGATACTTTCGGGCTGTGCCTTCCAGTACTGCTTTCCACGGGGCTGGGTCAGATCGTGAGCGGAATCGAAAACTCGCACCGTCAGTCTCTGCGTCTTCCCCTGTGCAAAAGCATCCGTGATGTCAACATCAAATGGTACGTGTCCACCACGATGACCACCAAAAAAACTACCATTGACCCAAATCTTGGCTTCATAATCGACAGCTCCAAATCGGAGGATAACAAGATCTCCAGCAGTCTTGCCCTGTTCAGATCTCGGATCCTCAACCATCCTTTCATACCACAGCACCTCGTGCACGCCCTTTTCGTTGATACCCGAAGCAGGGCATTGAAATACAAATGGGACTTGGATATCTCTTTTCTCATGCACAGTATGCTCGTTTCTGAACTTGTTGCCTTGCAGTAGCTCCTGCGTACCAGCAGCGATCTTGGCCGTAATACTGTGCGCCTCGCTGTTTTCGGCACTATTGGTATTGGTGGGGTTCACAGTGATCTTGTCCGGTAGTTGGGTCAAGTGCCATCCCTGGCTGAGACCAACGTCGTTGTCATCGAAGAGGAATGACCATGGACCGTTTAGGGATTGCCATGATAGATCCTCGCGGAGGAAGTCCGGGCGAGGGTATGTAGGCGGGGGTGTGGGAGGCATACTTATGTTGTGAATATGAGTGTCGATGAAATTAGGATGAAGTGCTATCTTCAATTGAGGGCGCTGTATATGTAAAAGTTAGCATTCACGTGAGATTCGACGCAGTAAGGTGGAGGTGTGGGGAGGATACACTGGGTCCAACACGTACCACGCTCATTTGGGACTAGGGCGAGTTGGATTACATCTTCCCCGCCCGCAATCTCCTACACACCGGAGCTTCTTCAATGCTCAGAAGAACATAGTATTTTATATTGCCAAATTCACCATACTAGATTGCTTGAAATTGGTTAGACATGGCATCATGACGAGTAACCAATAGTGCTGCGAATGTTAGTCTAGAAATCCCCACTCTGAATGTATTTATTGTGGCTATTCCGGAAATAGTGGCGTTGTTGAGGCGTTTCAATTCACTTAGAAATTCATGATGATCGTAAGTGCGATACTTATATAAACTAAATGACGATGGGAAAATATACGTGGTATTACATCGAAAAATGATGAATTATTATTTCATGATGTACTGAGCAGTTGTCCGAGCTTGCTGAGATATCTTAAGCCTGATTTTAATCCAGAGGCCAGTACTCGTGTATTCCCTTCTGGTTTTTCCACCGCATAAAATAACAGCAGAAAGGGAAGAACAGTGTATTCACTGCTCCCCACGCAATTAGAATGCCAAAGTCCAGACCAAGACGCGAATGAAGGTCGAACAGAATCGAGCGACTTCCTTCGACAACTGTCGCACGTGTTAGCTTCGACGAATTGCCATCTAAATAGGAAAAAAGCAGGAGAAGCAACGAAAATAATGGAAACTTACTAGAATGTAGTGGCCACGCATATCCCCACCTGTAAAACGCCGGTGCAATCTCAATATCGTAGAACGAAGTAGAGACATTCGTGATAACCCAGAAGATCAAAAACAGACCCATCCACGGCATACCCACAACCATAGCAACATTCTCACATGCCAGACCTAGCGCAATCATACCAAGAAAGTTCAGCATCCAGTACACAACGAACGTTGCGTGTCCAAAAGCCACTGGATTGCCTTCGCTCTCGACAGTAGCCTGAGTATGACTAGTGATCAAGTTGGTGTGAAAAAAGTTGATTTGAAAAGCCATACTGACAAAGGAGTAGGCGAGGGAAAGCATGAAGTACGCCGAGATGGTAGCGCACCAGCGCCAGACGATCAGCTGGGAGAATTTCAGCGGTGGGTGGTTGGTAGGTGTGACGTATTGCATGTGGATGGGCATATAGAAGGAGAAGCTGAAGAAGGATATGATTATGAGATCTGTTGTCGGCTGATTAATACCAAATTCTTAAGAAGTAGGTGAAACTACTATATTAGGGCGTAAGAACACTTACAAATGAGACCGATGGAAACAGCAGGAATACTAGTATAAGGGAAGAACGGCCTAAGATTGAATTCAGAAAATCCGATTGCGGGGTTAATCGCTTGCGGCACACTTTGCATGTTTGATAGGATAGATGGGTCGCTGGCATTCTGAAGCACCATCTGCGCCCACTGCCTGCCGACCATGCTCTGCGCTTCCGTCATGAAAGCGCTGATGAGTGGCAGCATGAAATCGTACCAATTTGTATCGTCTCTTGAGTCCTGGTAGATCAATTGGCAGGCTCCAAGGGGTTCGTAAGATGAGTTTCCGTTCGCAATGGCAGAGTACAACAAGGCGCTGGCGTTGGGGTTGATGACAATGGCGGCCCAGGCATCCCATTCGTACACTGCCTCCCGGACACGCATTGGGTCGTTGTTGAAATCTGAGGCTGAGCGGATTCCCCAGCCTAGTGTCGGCTGGCCACTGCTTAGTTGTTGTTGGACAAGTTGCGTAATGGCTGGTCCGACGAATGGCGCATTCCCAGTACTATCGTATGGTGTGGCCCCATCCATATCTACGACATAAATCAACAAGTGATCGAGTCTTTGCTCCACTTGAAAAAAGACGCCCCAGTATATCGATAGAACAGCGAGAACAAATGCCATGAGAAACGAGGTCGTAATGATCCATTTCGCAAATGCGCGGTTGCGGACTTGTCGGAGATCTGGGTGCCAGAAGCCTACAGGTTCTTTGTTAGGCTCTTGGGACTTTTTCTCATTTCCGTTCCCATTTTCCGCTTCAGTGGGTGCGGTTTTCCCACGTCCGGTTTCTGGGTGACCGTTCGTGCCCTCCTCAGCATTGATTTGCGCCGGGGAGCGGAATGCGCGTGGTAATCGCATTGACGGCATAATAAAGAGGCGACAGCGAAGGCAATTAACCAACACTGATATTAGACTTTTTTGCGCAATAGAAGATTGCGGGCTGCCAAGGAATGAAGAAGCTTATTGTCATTCGGAAAATGCATGGCGATGGGCTATTGCTTTTATTATGGGTACTCGCCTGAGGAATCGGTTCTCAATCGTATAAAATCTATGACGTACGTAGAAGCAGAATTCGTACCAATGTTTTCATGACGTTCTGTATCTGCCAGATCCTAGCTCAATGCTTAGCTCCGCAAATAACGAAATCGAGGTCTAGCTCTGCGCCACAAGTGCTCTCGAACGAACGGACTAAAATGATTACCAACCGCGTCTACTATATGTACGTAGTGGCAGCAATTTCTCATACTTGTAGTTATCCAGCTATCACTGTATCATCTACAATCAGTAGCGTCTTATTCTCTTTTCTGTTTCGTATTTGAAAGATTGATTGGTATATTCTAACTAGGGTTTGCTCACTCTCGAGAGTGTATACGTAGGGATTCTCCTTCCACAGTGCAATTTCTGCATCATTCGTTCATCATTCATCGAGTCGCTCAAGACATGCCTGCCGAGCCTGACATCGTCAATTTGGTGGTCTTGGATATCTTCCCCCACAATTTCGCATGACAAAGGAAAAACAAAAGGGTATTGTGCTCATTAAAGGGGTATAGGGTATATTGCGAGGCAAAACGCCACGCCTTTCAGTTTGTCGTCCATCATCCATGATTACTTCTTCGTTCTTTCCAATCTAGTCGTAGTAATCTTCGTTATTGCTAACATTGAGCAGTGTTTGTGTTTGTGTTCATGTCGTAGCTGTCTCGTGTGTACGTTCGTATTATATTTGTCGTTCAAAGATCGGGGTCTTCCTCTGTTAAAGTCTCTGGTCCCGAGAGGCACTCGCTCAACTGCACCATCCTGTTTCTGCAGTGGATGATGAAGATGGCGATGGCAAGTGAGTTCCAGACGTCATATCCTTCCTTGTTGAAGTCAAACATAGCGATCAGTCGAAGTTGGGGCTGATCCCTGTCGTTGTTGCCGGGAGCATAGCTGACGAATGCCATGACGGAATGCGATGCTGTAATTCCGTAGAGTGTGGGCACTTCTGGTACAACAGAGTCTCCACGTTGCTCAGCCTCGCCGATTTTCAAAGCATCGTACCATAGGTCGTGCAGGCGGCCAAGCTTTTCAAGCATTTTCTCCTCACCTACACTCGGATGTACGTGTCGAGAGAAAGTGACAGTTTGGAACAGTGGAAGTTGAGACCAAAGATGGTCAACTTTACCGTCTTTCATTGCCCACTTGGTGAACGCTTTCACTGCCTTACCGATCTGGAATGCCGGAGTCCGCTTTGCTCGCGTGTGCCAGGCATCTCGTACGAAACCCCCGAGATCGAAGAGCTTGTTAAGAGCATGTTGTGCTTTATAGTGTTAGTAAAGGCAATCGCGGTTATCAGAAAGTCGAGTACATACCACCGTATTCTGTGCCGAAGGCGGGTTTTATAAAAGCCTTGTCAAGATTCTCGGTAAAAAGGTCTTCGGGTAGAGTTTCGAAATCGTTGATCCACTCAATGGGGAGGAGAGGCTCGAAGCCGCGCATCCCAAGCTTCTGAAAAAGAAATACCGCGTCCTCGGACCAGCCAGAATCGCGTAATTCCTGTCCCTGCTGATCTCTTCTCCTTCGCTCCTCTTCAGCATTGACATTCTTTTGCTGATCCATGTATGTTCCATCGTCCACTACCATGGTCTCCTCATTCGCGTCCCATTCGTCCAATGAGCCCTCTGCTCTCTTACCGGGCGTAGTGGGCGACAAAGGCAACAGCGTATCACCTTCTAGATCATCGGAGAGCATGGCTGAAGCGGGTGGAGAGGGAGGCAAAAGTGTCGCATCGATGTCGCATCGAGGACTTGGTGATCGTGAGTCCCGAATCTTGACTGGCGCATCCGAGCTTTTCTCCACGATCGAGGGGTTGGCAGCCTCTTGATGAGCATCTGTAGTCCGAGTAGGCACTGCAGGTTTTTTGAAGGAATAGGGCTTGTCTCGCCGTTGCTGGGTCTTACGCGGGCTCATATAACTCCAGATGCGGTCAGACACCCCGCGAAGGAAGGCCATGACGAAAGACGGAGACTATTTTCGACGCGCACGAGCGTGTTTTCGAAAAGAAGTGCTCGGACTAGAACGAAAATCTGGGTTGAGCGGGGGTCGAGGTGTTCAATTGTCGTCGTGAGGGCGTGTTGCGGTGAAGGCGATGGTGATGGTAAAGCGGACAGGTGCACCTTTGAGGCAAGACCCAAACGATGTCTTTGTTTCCTTTTTTCTTGTAGGTGACCTTTCACCACGACTTGTCAAAGACACCGGGAGCGAGGACGAAGAGTCATTGTGAAAAGAGGGCTGGGTGGCTTATGTCCTGCATAATGCAGGAACAAGGACTCGCTGCCACGCTGTCACATGCGGGCTAGGCTATGATAGGCTAGCCTTGTTTTAGCATGCAGGTGCGGTGAGGATCTTATCAGATGAACTTTTAACCCCACCAAATCTCTAGACCCCACCAAAAAAGAGTTGAGCCGCGTCTAGAGGCGATCCTCTGTTCCTGACTTCTGTCACTCAACATCCTATTATTCAACCAACAACATGGCTGTTACCGAACAAGACACACAGGTCGTAACCCTGCGCAAGATCCTCACATCGGAATCAGAGCCACTCGCCCGACGATTCCGTGCTCTCTTCTCTTTGAAGTATCTAGCAGGCCTGAATCCGCCCACCGAACAAACAGTCCCCGCGATCGAGGCCATTGGCGCTGCTTTCTCTTCACCGTCTGCTCTTCTGAAGCATGAGCTCGCCTACTGCCTGGGTCAATCTGGCCATGATGCTGCCATTGCGCCGCTGAGGGCTGTGTTGCAAGACAAGGAAGAAGACTCCATGTGCAGGCACGAGGCTGCGGAGGCACTCGGTGCACTAAGCGACAAGGGGAGTTTGGATCTACTGAAGCAGTTGAGAGATGATGCCCAAGAGGTCGACGTTGTGCGGGAAACTTGCGATATTGCTGTTGATCGCATCGAATGGGATCACGGGCTACAGAAGGGACAAGAGAAGCTGAAGAAGAGGTATGTGTGCAAAGAGTTTCAGGCTATGTTGTATATGCTAAACACTATACAGTGATTTCACGTCAATCGACCCTGCGCCCCCGCTACCACAGGGCACCGAGAAGCCATCGATACCAGAACTTGAAAAGACACTACTCGACACATCCTTGCCTTTGTTCCAGCGGTACCGGGCCATGTTCGCGCTACGCGATCTTTCCTCGCCACCCGACCTCCCGACTGCTGTCCCGGCTGTACAAGCGCTTGCCCGCGGTTTCAGCGATCCTTCTGCTCTCTTCCGCCATGAGATCGCATTCGTTTTCGGACAGCTGTCACATCCCGCGTCGATTCCCAGTCTGACAGAGGCACTGAGTAACACAAACGAGGCTAGCATGGTCCGCCATGAAGCTGCGGAGGCGCTGGGCAGTTTGGGTGACGAGGAAGGAGTCGAGGAAACTTTGCGCAAATTCTTGAATGACCCAGAACAGGTTGTACGAGATAGTGTAATTGTTGCGCTCGATATGGCAGAGTTCGAGAAGAATGGGGAGATGGAGTACGCAATTGTGCCACAGGTTGCTGCGGCTTAGAAGTGGTAGCATGTTGCATGAGCATGGCGTTTGGGTTATATAGAGTTCAACGAGGCCATTGTACTTGTACAGCCCAATTCAGTTGTTCGTGTTCCACCTGTAAGATAACTATCAGTACGAGTTTGAATTTGAGGGCGCTTGCGCAAACATACTTGTGACCGCAATCACACTCGTAAAAAACAGTGGTTCCTTCATCTGCACTTCGCAGTTGTTGAGTGTAGTATCGCACTTGCTCTCTTCCACATTTTTCGCATGGGTGGTTGATTATACTGGTGGTTTGTACGTCTTCCTCCGAAATGGTCTGCACCTCGGATCTCTTCGCGCGCAGGGAAGAAGGAAAAGCGGTAGGCTTGGAAACAGTAACGACAGTCTTCGACGACGTATCTTTATTATTCGCACCACAGACACCGCATGTCAGGACTATGTTCTGTTGTTGCTTCCCCACAGAACCGTCCAACAAGTTACCGCAATCTGTGCAAAAGACAAGAGATCCTATATATTTTTATAAGCAAACGACTTGCATTTAGTATACAGGTGGAGCATTACTGACCAATAGCTGACATGGTGGGCAGTGTATTGTTGTGAAGGTGTTGATGAGCGTGGAGATGGAAAAAAGTTACGGGGAATCGCGACTCCCGCGGCTGCGCCAAGCTAGTCCGAAAGGGGTAGGCGGTCAGAACGCGTCCGACTGTCAGGACGATTCGATCATAGGTACTTTCATATCGAAGCCGCCACAGCGTAGCAGACAACAGAGCGCATCGCTCGCGTGAAGGATCAGAGGAGGGCAAAAGGATCGCACCATCAGACGATGCACGCTGAGACGTTGAAATAGCGATTGTTCGACTCCGCCCCCAGAACGTACACTGTCGGCGCCTACTCTACGGTTGTTTGCTCCTCCGACTCCTCAGCCCATCAAGCGCGACCGCAATGAATGGAGATTGGCACAACATCAACGGTGGGGGACTCCCATTCCGGAGACCCCCTCCCACTGTTGACGATGCTCTCCCATATTCGCCCTTTACCTCGATTATCCCATTCTCACCGGGTCAGTCGCTCTCCCTCACCTGCCCATCTTGGATGCGCCAGGCTCTCTCACTCATCATGGCAGAAGACTGATAGACAGATAGATATAATACCTTTCCCTACGGCCGAGCCTCCGACTCCACCCACAACCTTGACTCCAGACCAACAAAAGGCCGCGAAGAAAGCCGTGGGCATCTTGAACGACGAAATCGAAGGCCAGTCTACTGCGCAACACCTACACGATACCTTGAAGCAACTTCGCAATCTTCTCCATCGGGACAAACTACCGGAGTAGTGAGTGTTTTCTGGGTTTTGACTCAGAAGTAGTCACTAACGGTCATAGCCACTTCAAGCCCATGCCACAGTTAGCGACGCCTCCTCCGGACAGTCCTGTCAAAGGCACAAATGGAGAGTCGTCAGGATATACGCCCGCGCTTAGCCCATTTGCGCGCATGCTGCTGAAACAGACGGATGTCACGTTTACTAGTAGGTCTTCTTGTCACTTGATTATACTCTCACTGACACGGCTAGCACCGAGTGTCGCGGCATCCGAACGACCTCGTAAAGAGCGCTCCCCTCCCAGACAACCGGCTGCTCCACAACCAGTTCGTGTGGCGCCTCAAATTTCTTCCACTCCAAATGGCAGTGCCCATGCTCGAAACGCAGATCTCCTGTACCCGTCCAGCGCTCTTTCATCCGCTCCGAGTAGCACGCCTGTTCGTCCTCCAGGACCCGCTGTGGTTATAAAGCCAAAAACTGTTTCGCGAGAAGAGTTCAGATACATTGACAACATCAATACACCGGAAATTTTGTCACAAAAGCAGGAAGACAAAAGAGCACAGGGTGGGGCTGCTGTTTTAAGACCTCATGAACGGGAGATCGCGGACGGGAAAATTGACCTGCTGGACACACTCGTTACAAACCTAACAGAGGACAAGGATGACCTCGATGGGTCGCAGCATTTCAGCAAGATAGCAACGCCTGATGGCGAATTCAACGTGCTCAAACCGCGGTCGATGGATAACCTCTCAGAGAAGATGTCGGGTGTGGTCAGTCTGGGACGCTTTGATGCTCTTCCTGTAGAACTGGTCATGCAGATACAATCTCTCCTTCATCCTACTGTTCTGTCAACAACCAAGAACGGGCTTTTTTCACGAGATGAGGCTACTTTGGAGCTCACTGAGAGTATCACAACTGCCAAATTCGCACTGAAATCTTCGAAGCTTTTACTGGAGACTATGATTGAGGGCCGCGATGACTATCGCATGCGTCGAGAAGAAATCGTCGATACCATCATCGATCTCATAAAGCTAGTCAAAGACGCATGCATCATTCCCATCGTCCAATCGCGGCGATCGGGCGAGTCCCAAGATCTTTTCAACGCTGCCTCGGCTTACAGACAAGACCTGCAAGCAGTATTGCGCCTATCTGGAGCTGTGCTTACTCGATTTGCCACAGTCATCGGCAAATACAATTTGTCTGACCGAGCTCTTAATACCCTGGAATACCTGACACTTGAACTTCTAGTGGAGCAAAATAGCGAAAATGAAAAAGACTCTGTTTTCACCATTAGGAAGTTTGAACACTTTCGCCAGAAGGCAATGGATGTTCTGGCTCAGATCTTCGCGAGATATCCAGATCAACGGACGTCAATCCTCAGCGGAATTTTCAGCAATCTGGAAAAGCTTCCTGATAAGAAGGCAAGCGCCAGGCAATTTGTATCGGCTCGAGAAGTACCTATCATGACGATTTCCGCGCTATTCATGCGTTTCGTTCAGGTTGTTGCAACAAACCCTGGTCCTCGTACTACATCATCGACCGACAGCGAGATCAAGGATGTGGTAGTTGAGGATGATGTTAGCGACTACGAGCCCGGTACTTCTACAAAGATAGCGAAGAAGGTGAACAAGGGTAGAGGTACCCCAACGTTCATTGCGCAGAATCTGACTACAACGGCTACCAACACCGCTTCCTTCATTGTAACTCAACTCTGCGAGCGTGCATCAAACACTTCAAAGTCGGGTGACAAGCCATTTCGCAATCTTCTGGATCTTTTCATCGACGATTTCTGCAACGTTCTCGGGTCTCCTCAATGGCCGGCTGCTGTGATGCTTCTACAGGTTCTTTTGGTACGAATGAGAACAATACTCCAGGATGACCAAGCAAATAAGCACTCTGTAGTGGACAAAGATATGGCTCTTACGACAATGGCGAGGATAGGCTGTGGTGTGATTGACTTCAAAGACCAGCTAAAAAAACTGAAACAAAGGCTAGACGTTTCGCAGTCGGACTTGTCGTCGAAGCTAGATCGACTTGTGAATGACGCCATGAGCGAGGATCAAAAGGAGCGCGTTAATGACGTGGATCTACTTGCCTTTGACGGTCCTTACCGCATGGTCATTGAATCTTTGGTTGAATATCT